AGGAGTTTCCCCCGCAGCCTCCATTGCCCCCAAGGTCCCGCTCTTCTACGGCTTCCTCCAGCCCTGGCTGGGTGAGTGCGGGCTCAGGGCAGGGGGGGCAGCACCCATGGGTGCCCCATGGATGGCAATGGGTGACCCCTCCCCTCCCCCATAGGGGACGGGCTGCTGCTGAGCCATGGGCGCAAGTGGGTGCAGCACCGGCGCCTCCTGACCCCCGCCTTCCATGGGGACCGGCTCAAGGCCTACCTGGGGGTCTTCAACCAGAGCACCCGCGTCATGCACGTGAGCACCCATCATGCACCCATCCCTGTACCCATCATGCACCCAGCACCTGCCCTGCACCCAGTACCTGTACTGCACCCAGTACCCTGCACCCAGCACCCATCCTACCCCCAGCACCCATTCTGTACCCAGCACCCATCCTGTACCCAGCACCTGTACTGCACCCAGTACCCTGCACCCAGCACCCGTCCTGCACCCAGCACCCATCCCTATACCCAGCACCTGTACTGCACCCAGTACCCTGCACCCAGCACCCATCATGCACCCAGCACCTGTACTGTACCCAGTACCCTGCACCCAGCACCCAGCACCCATCCTGTACCCAGCACCCATCCTACCCCCAGCACCCATCCTGTACCCAGCACCCTTAATGCACCCAGCACCTGTACTGCACCCAGTACCCAGCACCCAGCACCCATCCTACCCCCAGCACCCATTCTGTACCCAGCACCCATCCTGCATCCAGCAGCTGCACCCATCCTGTACCCAGCACCCATCCTGTACCCAGCACCCATCCCTGTACCCATCCTGCACCCAGCACCCAGCACCCATCATGCACCTGGCACCCAGCACCCAGCACCCATCCTGCACCCATCCTGTACCCAGCACCCATCCTGCACCCAGCTCCCATCCTGCACCCAGCACCCATCCTGCACCCAGCACCCATCCTGCACCCAGCACCCAGCACCCATCCTGTACCCAGCACCCAGCACCCATCCTGTACCCAGCACCCATCCTGCACCCATCACCGAGCACCCAGCACCCATCCTGTACCCAGCACCCATCCTGCACCCAGCTCCCATCCTGCACCCAGCACCCATCCTGTACCCAGCACCCATCCTGCACCCAGCACCGAGCACCCAGCACCCATCCTGTACCCAGCACCCATCCTGCACCCAGCACCCAGCACCCATCCTGCACCCAGCACCCAGCACCCATCCTGCACCCAGCACCCAGCACCTGTACTGTACCCAGCACCCATCCTGCACCCAGCACCCATCCCTGTACCCAGCACCCAGCACCCATCCTGTACCCAGCACCCAGCACCCATCCTGCACCCAGCACCCAGCACCCATCCTGCACCCAGCACCCAGCACCCATCCTGCACCCAGCACCCTGCACATCCATCCCTGTACCCAGCACCCACCCTGCACCCATCCCTGTACCCAGCACCCATCCTGCACCCAGCACCCAGCACCCATCCTGCCCCCATCCCCACCCAGCACCCATCCCTGCACAGGACAAGTGGCGCGCAGCAGCAGCATCAGCACCCATGGGTGCTGCGGTGGCGCTGGAGGTGCTGGACCAGCTCAGCCTCCTCACCCTGGACACCCTCCAGAGATGCATCTTCAGCCACGAGAGCCACTGCCAGCAGTGAGCAGCACCCATCCCCTGTGGCCTCCCTGGCACCCTTGGGTGTCACCCTTGGGTGGCACCCTGTGTCCTGGACCCCTCCTCTGTCCCTTATTGGCCTTTGCACCCATCAAGGTCACCCCATGCCCCTTTCGGGGTCCCATCTGCTCTGCTTTGGTCCCCAATGAAGCCCCCTTCAGGTGGCATCACCCCACCTCGGTCCCACATGTCCCTATGGCCATGGGACCTTCTGCCACCCCGTGTCCCCATTGAAGGTTCCCACGCCCAATGGGGTGGGCCCTGTTGAACATCCCTGATGGTCCCATGGGCTTTGCACCCATCAAGGTCCCACCACCCCAGTGTCTCCTTTTTGGGGTCCCCCCTTATTCCCTCACCTCAAGAACTCTGGGTCCCCTTTAGGTGTCCCCATAAGCTACATCTCCCTGTGCCCATTGAAGTGGCCCTTGTTGGCCACCACTGATGGTCCCATGGGCTTTGCACCCATCAAGGTCCCACCACCCCAACGTCTCCTTTTTGGGGTCCCCCCTTATTGAACATCCCTGATGCTCCCATGAGCTTTGCACCCATCAAGGTCCCACCACCCCAACATCTCCTTTTTGGGGTCCCCCCTTATTCCTCAAGGCCTTTGTGTGTCCCCCATACCCTGAAGCCCCCCATGGCCGTTGGGGTGTCCCCCATTGACCACCGCTGATGGTCCATAGGCAGCCCAGTGAGTACATCAAGGCCATCCTGGAGCTGAGCAGGTTGGTGGTGCGGCGCCAGCAGCACCTTCTCCATTACCCGTGGTGGCTTTACCGGCTCTCGGGCGATGGGCGCCGCTTCACCCGGGCCTGTGCCACCGTCCATGGCTTCACCGCGGCCGTGGTGCAGCGCCGGCGCCAGGCTCTCCAGCGCCTGGGCCACCAGGCTTGGTTGGACCAGCACCATGGACAGCGCATGGACTTCATCGACCTCCTGCTGCTCGCTAAGGTGGCCATGGCGGGGTGGCTATGGGGAAGGGTGGCTATGGGTGGTGGCCATTGTGGGGTGCTGGTGGCCATTGTGGGGTGGTGGTGGCCAAGGGAACGGTGGTGGCCATGGAAGGCTGGCCATAGGGTGGTGATGGTCATAGGGAGGTGGTGGTGGCCATGGAAGGCTGGCCATAGTGTGATGGTCATAGGTGGCCAAGGGGATGGTGGTGGCCATGGAAGGTTGGCCATAGGGTGGTGATGGTCACAGGGAGGTGGTGTTGGCAAAGGGGGTGGTGGTGGCCATCTAAAGCTGGCCATAGGGTGGTGATGGTCATAGGGAGGTGGTGGTGGCCAAGGGGGTGGTGGTGGCCATGGAAGGCTGGCCATAGTGTGATGGTCATAGGTGGCCAAGGGGATGGTGGCGGCCATGGAAAGCTGGCCATAGGGTGGTGATGGTCATAGGGAGGTGGTGGTGGCCAAGGGGGTGGTGGTGGCCATGGAAGGTTGGCCATACGGTGGTGATGGTCATAGGTGGCCAAGAGGATGGTGGTGGCCATGGGGAAGGTTGGCCATGGGTGGTGGCCATTGTGGGGTGCTGGTGGCCAAAGGGGTCACCGTAGAGTCATGGTGGTGGCCAAAGGGATGGTGGTGGCCATGGAAGGTTGGCCATGGGGTGGTGGCCATTGTGGGGTGGTGGTGGCCATTGTGGGGTGGTGGTGGCCATAGAGTCATGGTGGTGGCCAAAGGAATGGTGGTGGCCATGGAAGGTTGGCCATAGGGTGATGGTCATTGTGGGGTGTGGGGGGCCACAGAGTCATGGTGGTGGCCAAGGGGATGGTGGTGGCCATGGGGAAGGTTGTCCATGGGGTGATGGTCATTGTGGGGTGGTGGTGGCCATGGAGTTATGGTGGTGGCCATGGAGTCATGGTGGTGGCCATGGGAAAGGTTTTCCATGGGGTGATGGCCATTGTGGGGTGGTGGTGGCCATAGAGTCATGGTGGTGGCCAAAGGGATGGTGGTGGCCATAGAAGGTTGGCTGTGGGGTAGTGATGGTCATTGTGGGGTGGTGGTGGCCATAGAGTCATGGTGGTGGCCAAGGGGATGGTGGTGGCCATGGGAGGCTGGCCATCGGGTGGTGATGGTCATAGGTGGCCAAGAGGATGGTGGTGGCCATGGGGAAGGTTGGCCATGGGGTGGTGGCCATTGTGGGGTGGTGGTGGTGGCCACAGAGTCATGATAGTGGCTAAGAGGATTGTGATGGCCATGGAAGGTTGGCCGTGGGGTGGTGATGGTCATGGGGTGGTGATGGCCAAAGGGACGGTGGTGGCTATGGGGAAGGTTGGCCATAGGATCTGGTTGGGATCAAGGGCACAGTGGTGACCAAGGGCATTGTGGTGGCCAAAGGGATGGTCATGGTCATGGAAGGTTGGGTATAGGGTGGTAGCCATTGTGGGGTGGTGGCTGCAAAGGGATGGTGGCAACCATAGAAGGTTGGCCATAGGGTGTTGACCATAGGGAGGTGGAGGTGGCCAAGAGGATGGTGGTGGCCATAGGGGAAGGATGGCCATAGGGTGGTGGCTATAGTGGCCTGGTGATGGCCAAAGGAATGATGGTGGCCATGGGCAGACCTGGCTGTAGGCTGATGGCCATAGGGAGGTGAAGGTGGCCAAGGGGATGATGGCAGCCATGGGGAAAGATGGCCATAGGGGTGGTGGTCATAGGAGCATGGTGGTGCCCCAAGGTGATGACGGTGTCCATGGGCAGACCTGGCTGTAGGCTGGTGGCCATAGGGAGGTGAAGGTGGCCATGGAACAGTGGTGACCATGGGGCAGGTTGCCCATTGACCACCACGTTGACCCTCGACAGGACGAGGATGGGAACACGCTGTCGGACGAGGACATCGCAGCCGAAGCCAACACCTTCATGTTTGCAGGTGAGGCCAAGCCACCACCGGCCACCATCACCAGGAGGTGGCCCCCCATGTCCCCAAGCTCACCCCTTGCCCCTGCAGGCCACGACACCACAGCCAGCGCCTTGGCTTGGCTGCTCTACAACCTGGCCAGCCACCAGCAGCACCAGGACCGCTGCCGCCAGGAGGTCCAGGAGCTCCTCAAGGGCCGGGATGTGGAAGCCATCGAATGGTGAGAGGTCCCCATTGCCACCCCTTGGCCACCGTTGGCACATGGGTGCCACCTTCCCTTGCCCCTAGGGAGGACCTGTCCCACCTGCCCTTCACCACCATGTGCATCAAGGAGAGCCTCCGCCTGCATCCCCCGGTGACCGCCGTGTCCCGCTGCTGCACCCAGGACCTGGACACGTGTGATGGAAGGGTCATCCCCAAGGGTACGGCTCCCCCACCGTGTCCCCAGTGCCACCGCCTTGTCCCATTGTCCCTAAGGTGGCCGTTGATGTCCCACCAGGGGTCATCTGCTTGATGAGCATCTATGGGACCCATCACAACCCCGAAATGTGGCCTGATCCTCAGGTAGGACCACTTGGGGTTGGGGGCACAGCCATGGGGTGGTGAGGCATCCCCATCACCATGGGTAGGGACAACCATGTCCCCATGGTGTCACTCCAGGTCTACGACCCATTGAGGTTCAGCCCAGAGAACAGCCAGGGCCGGTCCCCATTGGCCTTCATCCCCTTCTCTGCTGGCCCCAGGTGAGCCGTGGTGGGGACACCAACGTCCCCATTGCATGGAGAGGTGATGGACCCCAGTCTGGGTGCCCTGGGGGCATCTCCATCCCCATGGGGAGGTTCCACCGCCCCGGCTGGTGGCCGCTGGCACCCATGGAGGTGACAGAAGGGGCCGTGGTGGCAGGAACTGCATCGGGCAGAGGTTCGCCATGGCTGAGATGAAGGTGGTGGTGGCCCTGACCCTGGCTCGGTTCCGCATCCACCTGGACACGGCGCGGCCACCGCGGCGCAAGCCCGAGCTCATCCTGCGCACTGAGGATGGGCTCTGGCTGCTGCTGGAGCCGCTGCCCAAGGGGGCCTGAGGGACACCATGGAGAAGCCATGGGGCACCAATGGGACACCAATGGGACACCATGGAGAAGCCATGGGGACACCATAGAAAAGCCATGGGGACACCATGGGGACACCATGGAGAAGCCATGGGGACACCATAGAAAAGGCATGGGGACATCATGGGGACACCATGGGGTCACCATGGAGAAGCTATGGGGACACCATGGGGTCACCATGGAGAAGCCATGGGGACACCATGGGGACACCATGAAGAAGCCATGGGGACACTATGGGGACACCATGAAGAAGCCATGGGGACACCATGGGGACACCATGAAGAAGCCATGGGGACACCATGGGGACACCATGAAGAAGCCATGGGGACACTATGGGGACACCATGAAGAAGCCATGGGGTCACCATGGGGACGCCATGGGGTCACCATGGAAAAGCCATGGGGACGCCATGGGGTCACCATGGAAAAGCCATGGGGACGCCATGGGGACACCATGAAGAAGCCATGGGGTCACCATGGAGAAGCCATGGGGACACCATGGGGACGCCATGGGGTCACCATGGAGAAGCCATGGGAACATCAATGGGACACCATGGGGACACCATGAAGAAGCCATGGGGACACCAATGGGACACCACGGGGACACCATGGGGACATTGGGACACCTCAAGGAGGACAGAGGAATAAAGGTGCCATGGAGGGGATGATGCTGTGGTGTGTGATGGGGATGGGTGGTGGGGACGTGTCCTCCTCCATCATGTGTGGGACATGGCATGGGCATGTCCCATCATGCTATAGGTGCTGTGCATGGGCATGTCCCATCATGCTATAGGTGCTGTGCATGGGCATGTCCCATCATGCTATAGGTGCTGTACATGGACATGTCCCATCATGCCATGTGTGGCCATGCATGTACATGTCACCCCATGATATATGTCATCATTCATGGATGTGTCCCCCCACAAAACATGTCACTGTCCTGACATGGATGTGTCACCCCATGCCACATGTAAGCATTCATGGACATGTCACTTCATGCCACGTGTCACCATCCATGTTAATGTATCCACATCACTGTACACGTATGTGCTCCCATGCATCGCATGTCACTGTACATGTATGTGTCCCCATGTCATATGTCACTGTACATGTATGTGTCTTCACATGTCACATGTCACTGTACATGTATGTGTCCCCACATGTCACTGTACATGTATGTGCCCCACATGTCCCATGTCATTGTCCATGTATGTGTCCCATATGTCCCATGTCACTGTACATGTGTCCCACATGTTACATTGTCCATGTATGTGTCCCACATGTCCCATGTCACTGTACATGTGTGTGCCCCCTTGTCTGATGTCACTGTACATGTGTCCCACATGTCCCATGTCACTGTACATGTGTCACACATGTCACATATCATTGTCCATGTATGTGTCCCACATGTCCCATGTCACTGTACATGTGTGTGCCCCCTTGTCTGATGTCACTGTACATGTGTCCCACATGTCCCATGTCACTGTACATGTGTCACACATGTCCCATGTCATTGTCCATGTATGTGTCCCACATGTCCCATGTCATTGTACATGTATGTGCCCCCCCATATCACCACCCTGGCACAGGCAAGCCACCAGATGGGCGTACCCTCGTCCGCCCAGTGGGCGTGGCCACAGCGGGCGGCGGCTGACCAATCACATGCCGGGTGGGCGCGGCTACACCCACCGTATGGACAGGGTTACCACCAAGAGGGGGCGTGGCTACGACCAAAGGGGCGGGGACTCGGAGCCGCGGTCACGTGAGGCGGGCGGCTCAAGCCGCGCTGCGTCGGTGTCATGGCGGCCCCGTCAGGTGAGCGGGGGGAACCGGGCCCTGGGCCCAAGCCCAGGCCCAGGCCCAGGCCCCGGCCCCGGCGGTCACCGGCCGTGTCCCCCCCCCCCCCAGAGACCGAGCGGCTGCTGGGCCGCGGGCCCGCGTACGGGAGCACGGAGCCGCCGGGGGTGGCGGAGGAAGAGGAGCTGCGCCGCCGGCTCAAGTACTTCTTCATGAGCCCCTGCGACAAGTACCGGGCCCGCGGCAGGCGGCCCGTGAAGCTGGGCCTGCAGCTGGCCAAGATCCTGCTCGTCACCGTCCAGGTGCAGCGGGGACTGGGGCATGGGGACACCGGGAGCACTGGGGGCACTGGAAGCACTGGGACATGGGGGTACTGGGGAGTGGGGCACTGGGAGCATTGGGACATGGAGACACTGGGGAGGGGGAACTGGGAGTACTGGGACATGGAGACACTGGGGAGGGGGCACTGGGGGCACTGGGACGCGGGGGTACTGGGGAGGGTGGCACTGGGACGTGGGGGTACTGGGAAGAGGGCACTGGGACGGGGGGGCACTGGGAAGAGCACTGGGCGGCACTGGGAGCACTGGGAATGGGACAGGGGGGCACTGGGAGCACTGGGAAGAGAACTGGGCGGCACTGGGAGCACTGGGAATGGGACGGGGAGCACTGGGACATGGAGACACTGGGGAGGGGGGACTGGGAGTACTGGGACATGGGGACACTGGGGAGGGGGTACTGGGGGCATTGGGACATGGGTCACTGGGGAGGGGGGGCACTGGGAGCACTGGGGGCACTGGGACATGGGGGTACTGGGAAGAGGGCACTGGGATGTGGGGACACTGGGAGGGGGGCACTGGGACGTGGGGGGGGTTGGGGAGGGGGGCACTGGGGGCAGTGGGGGCATTAGGACATGGGGGTACTGGGGAGTGGGGCACTGGGAGCACTGGGACATGGAGACACTGGGGAGGGGGGCACTGAGACATGGGGGTACTGGGAAGAGGACACTGGGGAGGGGGCACTGGGGGCAGTGGGATATGGGTCACTGGGGAGGGGGCCACTGGGACATGGGGGTACTGGGAAGAGGGCACGGGGACATGGGGACACTGGGGAGAGGGGCACTGGGAGTACTGGGACATGGGGGAACTGAGGAGGGGACACTGGGACATGGGGGCATTGGGGAGGGGGGCACTGGGACATGGGGACATGGTGGCACTGGGAAGGGTGGCACTGGGAGTATTGGGGCATGGGGGCACTGGGGGGGCACTGGGACATGGGGGTATTGGGGAGGGGGGCACTGGGGGCATCGGGACATAAAGACACTGGGAAGGGTGGCACTGGGAGCATTGGGACATGGGTTACTGGGGAGGGAGGCACTGGGACATGGGTGTACTGGAGAGGAGGTACTGGGGGCACTGGGACATGGGGTTGCTGGGGAGCGAGGCACTGGGGGCATTGGGACATAGGGACACTGAGGAGGGGGGCAGTGGGAGCACTGGGACATGGGGACACTGGGAAGGGTGGCACTGGGAGCACTGGGACATAGAGACACTGGGGAGGGGGGCACTGGGAGCATTGGGACATGGGGACAGTGGGAAGGGTGGACTGGGGGCACAGAGACACTGGGAAGGGTGGCACTGGGAGCGCTGGGACATGGGGGCACTGGGGAGGATGGCACTGGGACATGAGGACACTGGGAAGGGTGGCACTGGGACATGGGGACACTGGGGAGGGTGGCACTGGGAGCATTGGGACATAGAGATGGCGGCACTGGGGATACTGGGACTTGGCATCACTGGAGAGGTGCTGATGCTCACCCATTATTGGGTGACGACATCATATTGGGAGCATCTTTGGGCTGAAACCGCTGCATTTTGGGCCCCGGTCCCCCCCCCCCCCCCGCCAGTGCCCAGGGTAGGGCTTGAACCCCAGTGCCCTTTGTCGTGCAGCTCATCCTGTTTGGGCTCAGCAACCAGATGGTGGTGACCTTCAAGGAGGAGAACACCATCGCCTTCAAGCACCTCTTCCTCAAGGACTACGTGGATGGGGCTGAGGACTCCTACGCGGTCTACACCCAGCAGGACCTCTACGAGCGCATGTTCTATGCTGTGGAGAAGGTGAGGGGCATGCTTGGGGACAACAAAGGTGCTTGGGGACACCCAGAGGTGCTTTGGGGACACCCAGAGGTGCTTGGGGACACCCAGAGGTGCTTTGGGGACACCCAGAGGTGCTTGGGGACACCCAGAGGTGCTTTGGGGACACCCAGAGGTGCTTGGGGACACCCAGAGGTGCTTTGGGGACACCCAGAGGTGCTTGGGGACACCCAGAGGTGCTTTGGGGACACCCAGAGGTGCTTGGGGACACCCAGAGGTGCTTTGGGGACACCCAGAGGTGCTTGGGGACACCCAGAGGTGCTTTGGGGACACCCAGAGGTGCTTGGGGACACCCAGAGGTGCTTTGGGGACACCCAGAGGTGCTTGGGGACACCCAGAGGTGCTTTGGGGACACCCAGAGGTGCTTGGGGACACCCAGAGGTGCTTTGGGGACACCCAGAGGTGCTTGGGGACACCCAGAGGTGCTTTGGGGACACCCAGAGGTGCTTGGGGACACCCAGAGGTGCTTTGGGGACACCCAGAGGTGCTTGGGG